ATCCCCAAAGCATTACCCTCATGATTCGTTCTTCAGTCTGCTTATTACGTTGCCACCATCCTCTCTGTGGACTTGTGTGGGTTTGAAGTTTTTCTAGGCCAGTTTTGATCATCCTTCATCTATCTGGGGGCTATGTTTAGAGTTATGAATCACCTCAAGGCTTTCAGTAAAGTAGCGGGGGTTACGTTATTTGAGTCAACGCCTGCGGTCCTTTGTGGCTTCTCAGTTCCGGAAAGGAAGCGGATGTTGCTTGTGAGGGTTCGTGGCTACAATCAACCCTGGGCCGAGTTGGACTTGTCTCCATAAGAGCTAGGTTCTTGTGGGAGCGGCCACCCCAGTGGGCTGGCCTTCACGCTCCATTTAGGCCTGTGGCCCCCTGCCACGAATGTGGGCTTCTGCATCAGACTGGATTCCAACTCTTGTTGCTAAGACACTCCAGGGTTCGTTGGCTGGTTGGTCGGTTGGTTTTAAGTAAACTCTACGCCCAAAGTGGAGCTCAAATTCACAACCCCAAGATCAGGAGCCTCACACTCTTCCAACCGAGCCAGGTGGGTGCCTCCCGGGGTTGTTGGGGTTTTGTTTTTTGTTTTGTTTTTAAAGAGGCAGTAGTGGGGAGTTAGTGGTAACGTGTGGTCATTTCGCTTGATTTCCTTGCAACACTGATGATGCCAATTTTGCTTTAATAGAAACAGGAAGACTTGATGGGAAGTGTCAGGGAAGGTCATGGTCCTGGGAAAAGCCGAGGAAGCGGGTTTTGGAGAGGATGGGGCGCAAGGGAGAACGGTGGCTGCCCCAAATCCCGAGAACCTGTTACTTTACGTGGCAAAGGGGCATCGAGGGGGCAGATGGAATTGTTGCTCTTGAGCTGTTGTGAAGGAGAGAGGTGGTCCAGATCACTGGGCAGGCCGAATAGCCTCACCAAGTTCCCTAAAAGCGGGGGAGAGGGAGAGCCAGAAAGATGGCCATGTGAGGACTTGGCCTGTCATTGCTGGCCCTGAAGGCGGAGGAAGGGCCACGAGGCGAGGAATGTGGGGGCCCCTAGAAGCGGGAAAAGGCAGGAAGCAGATCCTCCCCGTGAGCCTCCGGAAGGAATGCAGCCCTGGTGACGTTTTGACCTTAGCCCAGAGACCCGTTCTGGACTTCTGATCTCCAGAACTCTGGAGCGTGAACCACCCAGTCTGGGCTCGTTTGTCAGAGCAGCCGTACGAAGCTGGTACAGACAGGAGCCAGGGTGCAGGGACCAGGAGCCGACAGACCTCTCTGGGACAAACCTTATTGGTCTTGGTGTCCGCCCCATCGAGATCCAGATTCAGGGAGAGGGTCCGGTTGGTCTTGCTCGAATCGCCTCCACGTGCCTGCTGCCCAGATACACAGAGATAAGGCACCCCGATTGAGAAACCCACCCAAACTGGGCAGCAGGGAGCCAGGAAGTCTGTGCAGGAGCTTCCGCTGGCCGAGCGGGTGGAGGCGCAGGCAGTGACGTCCCCAGAGATAGCACGGCTCCGTGCCCCTTGCCCTGCGGGGCTCTGCCCCCCCGGAGGCCGCCTCACCCCCGATCTACTCACAGAGAAGTCACAGACAAACCCAAACTGAAGCACCTTCTATAACATACCTGGCCAGGACTCTTCAGAAGCGTCCCACTCAAGAGAGAGAGAGACGGTTCAGTTTAAAGCGGATTAAGGAGACAGGACAAGTGATGTAACGTGTGATTCTGGATTGGCTACTGGATCAGAAAAGAATTTCGGTGGTTTTCTTTTGCACTGTAAAGGACATTACCAATGATAAAACTTCAACGTCTGTAGATTAGATAGGAGACCCTAGCATCGTCAGTATTATTTTCTGGGTTTTGGTCATTGCACTGTGGTTATGTTAGCGAATACGGTCACCTCCGGGCAAATCCTACACATATATTTGGAGAGCCGGAGGTTTTGAGGTTACGCTCAGACTGCCGGACTACCAGAAGCACTTGCCCTGAGACACACCAGAAGGGACTCTTAAATACCGAGAACAAACAGGGTTGCTGGAGGGGTGTTGGGGAAGGGGGGGATGAGCTGAATGTGCAAGGGGGCATTGAGACCACTGGTTGGGATGAGCACTGGGTGTTATATGTAAGTGATGAATCACTAAATTCTATTCCTGAAAATCATTACACTGTATGTCAACTAACTTGGATGTTAAATTTTTTTTAATGTTTATTTATTTTTGAGAGAGAGAGACAGACAGAGTGTGAGCGGGGGAGGGGTAGAGAGAGGGGGAGGCACAGAATCCAAAGCAGGTTCCAGGCTCTGAGTTGTCAGCACAGAACCAGACGTGGGGCTTGAATTCACGAACTGTGAGATCATGACCTGAGCCACCCAGGGGCCCAGGATGTAAATTTCTTAAAAATAAAAAAAAAGAAGTATTTTCCCTGATCCCACAGGGAGAAATACACAGATTATATGAGGATACACGCACACATATGTATGTATGTGGGGGGTGTATCCCTGTGGTGGACAGGCTCTTAGGGTAACCACCCCCCCCCCAACATGATTCCCACCTCCTGGTGTTCACACCTGCTCCTGGATTGCTGCACTGAGGCCTCAGTTCCTCTCTGGCCATCCCGGCCACTGGGATGTCTGCACAGGACAGCTCACAGCTCCTCCCGGCGAGGCAGGGCGAGGGCCAGCACGACAGATGCCGATCAGTAGCCTGACCACAGAACCGGCTGTTCCGTCAGCTTGGCTGCATTCGTTTTGCTGGAAGTGAGTAGCTAGGTCCAGCCCTCTCTCAGAGGGTAAGAAAGACATGAACAGGGGGAGGTGGGGATCGTTGGGGTCCGTGCTGGAAGGTGCCAACCGGAGTCCGTTCATCCCAAACATACCCTTCGGCTGTTGCGGTCTGATGTGGTAACAGAAAGAAAACTAACTGTACTTCTAAGGCTTTGGGCCGTCTTTAATGCCTTTCCACTCCCTCCCTCGGCATCGTTGGCATCTGGGGCACGATCATTCGCTGTTCTGTGGACGTGGAACGGCATCCCTGGGCTCCCCACGTACCTCAAATGTCACATTTTTTTAATGTTAAGGTATTCGTATCTTGATGACCGAGCTTTTTGGTGCCAGCAAGGAACACACAGCTGCCACTCACCGCGCAGGGCGATAACTCACCCACCACCATACCATCCTAGGAGGTAGTCAAGTTATTCTGCACATTCTACAGTGGGAGAAACCGAGGCTCGGAGAGGTGACTGCGGGTGTGCACGGTCCGCAGGGAACCATGAACTTGATCCTGTCCGGCTGACAGCTTTCCCAGGGGTGTACAGTTCAGCACCGTGGCCGTCATTGGCTCTCCTGCCGCGGCCACAGCAGAGGGAGCGGACTCCTCCCTCAGCAGTTCCCAGTGACAGGCACAAGGCAGGCGTCTGATGGCCCCGTGCCCCTGCCGGCCGATGGGCCAGGTGCGCACCTGCAGCCGGGTCCACTGTGCCTGAGAGGAGGCAAGAGCCACGAGGGATCCCTACCAGATGGTGTGGACGTAGCGGCCATTGGTCCTTGAGCAATACTGCCTCTAGGGGGCGCTGCGCGCACGAAAGCCTTGGTCTTGAGGCTCACACGGCCAACACTGCCACCTGGAGGGTGATGTAGGCGTGGCAGCCAGAATTCCTTGGCAAACACTGCCACCTAGAGGGTGCTGCAGACAGAGCGGCCAGCCTTGGTCTGGCTGCTGCATCCAGGTGATTCAGTCTCCCGCGTGCTTTTGACACCTGCTCCCAAAGGTTATTCTGGGAGGGGCTGTCCCCTCACTGAGGAGAGGAACCACCGGACAGCTCCAAGCCCACCAGGCGGGCACTTTCAGCCCAAAGCCTCTGGGCTACCTCCTCATCCTCAGCTTCAGGGGCTGGAGGCTTCTCTTTGAATCCATCAAAGTACTTTCCAGAAACGCCCTCCAGTTCCTCTGCCACGGCCAGGTACGTGCTGGGCTGGGCTGCCAGCTGGGGGCTCTTGACCAGCAGCCAGAAGATGGGCCCTGCAAGGAGCCCACGGGGCATTCAGTCCACACACGTTCTGGGAGGAGGACACAAACAGCCCAACGCCTCCACCACGATGCCCCGGGCCCACAGAGGCCAGAAGTCGGACCGCAGGCCCACACGGCCCACCTCCAGGCCTTTGCCTCCGAGGTTCCCTCCACCAGGGGTTCCCTTCCCCAGCACTGCCCAGCCACCTTTGGGCCAGAGACCAGCCCCAAAGCTGCCTCCCCAGCTTTCCCCAAGAACACGGGAGCTCTCCCTTCTCTCCTTGAGCTCTGAGTCCTTACCCTACCTCCTCTTGCTTAAAATAACTTTTATTTATGAAATGTCTCCAGCGCCAGCCTCAACTTAGAATCTTTGATATCCGGCACCCACCCACGAAATGTTTTTCAGGCCTAGTTCTAAAGTTCTAATTATTCAGCCTAAAGCTGGGTCAGACCCTCTGCCGGTTCTTTTAAGGGCCATCTCATCCTCACGACGGTGAGGAGCGTGCTGTTATGGCCCTCGCTTTGTCGTTAAGGAAACAGGCTCCGGGAGGGGAGGATGCCTCCCTGGGTGGCAAAGCCCATTTGGGGTGAAGCTGGAGCCACCCCAGGCACAACCAGGAGTCCGCTCCATGGTCTCCTTCTCTGAGACTCGGTTTTCTCATCGAGCAGGATCTGGCCTGTTTCCTGGGGCTATTTCCAAGGATGGCAGGCTGGATCCACATGTACCAGTAACTCGTTCTCAGTACCCCGGAAGATACGAGGGAGGGGGCAGAGCCAAGCCCCGGAGAGAGTCTCTGAGCATGAGATACTCTCTGAAGGAGTAAAGAGCTCGCCCTTCACCAAGGTGGGTGGGCACCGTGCAATTAGTTGAAGGTGCAAACGGAACAAAAAGCTGGAAGAAGAGCCCATTCTGCCCTCTCTCTGCTTGAGCTGGGACGTCCGTGTCCTGCCCTCAGACACCAGGGCCCCTGGCCTTCGGGCTGGGACTGACACCAGGGCTCCCCTGGTTGACAGGCCTCTGGGTTTGGACCGGGATACACCACCACCTCTCCTGGGCCTCCAGCAGACAGAGGGCAGATCACGGGGACTTCTCCGCCTCCGGAAATGCACGAGCCGATCCCTCACGACAGGTCTCTCCGAGCATCTGCATATATACTATTCTGTGTCTCTGCAGGGTCTGACTGATACGCTGAAGGGAGCTGGGCCCCAGGCGGGGCGGGCAGGGGTTCGCCTAAGGGCCCGCAGGCCAGGAGGGGGCTTACCGAGCGTGAAGCTGGAGAAGGCAGAGCTGTGCATGCCCGTGTGTCTGCCCAGCTCCGTCCTGGCCACGCCGGGGTGCAGAGCGTTGACAGTCACACCCGTGCCTGACGGGAGAGGGAAGGAGAGGGACGAGGGGGTGAGCAGACACCAGGTTCACGCCCCACCTGGAAGGCTGATGCCGCCCGCCCTCGGCTCCAGGGCCATCCCATTCCGCGTCCTCCCCTTGAATCCACATCACCCCCCCTTGCTCAGAAACTTCCACAGCGAGTGGTTTCATCTTGCAAAGCAGCTCTGTCACGTAACTGCCTAGAGCAGGGCCTCCCGAACCTGAACGTACGTGAAAATCCCCCGGAGGGCCTGAGAGCCCCCAGCTGCCGGGCTCCACCCCCCCACCCCCTGAGAAATCTGAGGCGGTGGCTCGGGGTGGGGCCGAGAGGCTAGTTACAGCCAGCTCCTGGCTGAATGGACGTGGCTGGTCCACGGATGCTCTCTGAGAAGCAAGGGCACAGGGCGGACCTTCCGACTTCGGCCCCCCGGACGCTGAGGTCAGATCGTTCTTCATCCTGTCCGCGGCAAGAGGCTGGGCGGCTGCATGCCAGCAGCAACGCTCCCCCCACCTCCACCGCCCCAACGGTCTTCAGATACTGCCGAATGTCTCCAGGGGTGCCGACTCACCCACGGTTGAGGACCGCTAGCCCAGAGCACCAAAGGCTTAGGTGCCGGTGCAGGATGAGCCGGGGAGAATGCCACGATGGATCAGTGACGTCTGCTTCGCACACCAGTGAACACGGTGCCGTGCGTGTCCCGCGTCCACCTACTCTGTTCTGGGACCCGTGCTTGACCTCCCATGGGCCCAGCGTCACAGGAGGACTGTTCCAGGCGCAGAGCTAGAGGAAGAGAGAGGCCAGCGAGGCTCGCCACACACGTACCCTGCAGCCGCCGGCTCAGCTCCTTGGTAAACAGGACGACGGCCAGCTTGCTCTGGCAATAAGCCGCTTTAGTGTCGTACGTCCTCTTCTCCCAGTTCAAGTCATCAAAGTCCATGTGACCTGCGATGTGGGCCAAGGACGAGAGGTTGACGATCCGCGAAGGGGCCGAGGCTTTCAGCGTGTCCAGCAGCAAGTTCGTCAAGAGAAAGTGACCTGGATGCAGGACAACAAAAAGGCAATTTTCCCTGAATTCTTACCTGGCACATAGGACCGTAGTGAAAACATGACCTTGTGTGACCCTCCCAGGAACCCGTGGCTCTGGACAGGCGCCAGATCCATCCCCCAGGGGACCTCTGGCAACACCTAGAGGTTGCGGTCGTCACAACTGCAGAGAGAAAAGGGAGGTGCTCTGGCCATCGGGTGGGTGGAGGCCACCAGGCACGCTCCTAAATAAACGTCCTGTAGCGAGCAGGGCGGCCCCGCAGGAAAGAAAGATCCAGCCCAACATCAAGCTCTGCACGAATCCAATGAGGTCGGTTGGGGGACGGACCGCCTTCCGTCTCCCCAAATCCTTCCTCCATTTCTCCTTCAGCGATAGAACTGTCAGGGCTGCCCGGTGAAGCACTACATTTCCCAGACTTCCTTGCACCGGCATCGGTCATGTGACTGGGCCCCAGCCAATAGGACACTGAGTGATAGTCACGTGAGTTATGACCCTCCAAGACCTCGGCATGTGGTCTTATTTGGAGAGAGGGGTCTTCGCAGAGGCAATCAAGTGAAAATGAGGTCATGAGGGTGGGCCCTAATCCAGTGACTGGCACCTGCCCAGTACCTAGTTCCTCCTCGCCCTTGCTAAGGGAACCCCTGTTGCATTCAGGGTGACAACAGGTGGACAGAGTAACTGAAGGACAGACAGACTGGAGGACAGACAAGGGGTCAAAAGGCCGAGGCGGATGACGGATCTGAAGGACCGGCGGAGCACCCGGCTGTCAGCAGGCAACTCCCTGAGCTGCCGGTGACCCCACAAGCGGCCGCCCAGCCGCCCTTGAGAGTGAGGAGGACCCACAGAGGATCCCATGCACATCCCAGGCCGACGTTGACCCCACACAGCCCGCAGCCCGAGGCCTCACCCAGGTGGTTAACGCCAAACTGCATCTCGAAGCCGTCCTCGGTGGTCCAGTGGGGGCACCGCATCACAGCCGCGTTGTTGATCAGGATGTGCACGCGCTCTTTCTCTGGAGGACAGGGGTGAGGGCAAACGTGTCAGTCCCACGCCTGCGTGAAGCACGAGCGCAGCTGGGGGGACAGCACCCCCTGCCCTGGGCTGACCATTGTCCCCCAGACATTCACGCCCAGCCGGAGTCTGGGAACACAGCCTGATTTTGCACAGAGTCTTTGCAAAAGTTATCCAGTTAAGATAAGGTCATCGTGGGGCCCTAAACCAACAGGACTCAGACAGCAACCCGCGGGGGGAATGTGCTGTGGGGACGGAGGCAGAGACTGAGCGATGCGCCTGCGAGGACCGAGGGCCACCTCCAGAAGCTGGAAGACGCAGGAGGGACTGTCCTGTCTCGGGAACAGTGCCGCCCTGCTGACACCTCGATCCTGGACTTCTGGCCTCCACAACTGTGAAGAGACTGAGATCTCAAACCAGTTTGCTATATTCTGAAAACAGACACGCCCCACCTGCAGCTCAGAGACGTTTTCTGAAAAGGGAAGAGGCCACATCTGCAGGGGCCTCGGGGCCTGAAACTGGGGGGTTACGCGTGGGAACTCCAGCTCAGCAGGCAGCCGATTCCCAGCCCTGCCTCTCCACAGGCACAAGCGGCCGTCCCTCCCTGGGCCTGTTTCCTTGTCTGTAAAATGGGACGAATAACAGCACCCTCCACCCTGTATCAGTCAGCTAGGGCCGCGTAACAACGGGCCACGGAAACATACTGCGTCCCAGCTCTGGAGGCGGGGAGTCCAGGATCAGCGGGTCTCAGGATTGTCTCCTTTTGAGGACTGTGAGGGACAATCTGTTCCTGGCTCTCTCCCCGGCCCGTAAGCAACTGTCCGCCTTGTGTCTCTTCCCTCAGCATCTGTCTGTTGTCCTCACCTCCCTCTCTACAAGGACTCCAGTCATACCAGAGTAGGGTCTACCCTGCTGCCCTCACTTTCACTTGGATACCTCCGTACAGACCCTGTCTCCAAATAAGGTCACGTTCTGAGGTCCTGGGGGCTGTGATCCCAACACATCTTCTTTTGAGGGGACACAGTGGAACCCACAACACTCTCAAAGTGGTTTTTAGGTTCAGTAGAGACAACAGACTAGTTATCCAGCACCTTGTAAACAGAGCCTCTATTTCGTTCTTTATCTGATGGTGGATGGGGTAGCACGGAACTACCTGGAACCATCAGACGAGGGTTCAAATCCCCTGGCTCTACCCTGGCCAAGGCACACAGCTTTGCTCTGATTCATTTCCCCCTCTAAAAAGGGAAAACACTAGAACCTGCTGGGTAGAACAGGGGAGAAAAAGCACCACATGTATGACATGCTCCGATTATATCAAAAAGGCCCAGGGCAGGTATATATATCTGCTTGCTTTAGAAACGCACTAACAGGGGCGCCTGGGTGGCTCAGTGGGAAGCCGCGTCGACTTCGCCATCAGATGCATGATCATGGTTTGTGGTTGACCGCCCCACATCCGGCTCTGTGCTGACAGCTTGGAGCCTGGGGCCTGCCTTAGATTCTGTGTCTCCCTCTCTCAAAAATAAACATTAAAAATTAAAAAAAAAAAAAAAAAGAAATGCACAGTCTCCAGAAGGACACCCAAGAAGGGGTGCACTGAATACATCTGAGGAAGAAGGTGTCTGGGAGCTAGCGGCAGGGAGATGGTTGGCTGTATCCCCGTTTGTACTTTCTGAACGTTTCCTCTCGTAAATGTCATTCCTGTTCCCAAACATAAGGACGTAAACCAGTTCTGAGGACATCGGGTGGGAAGCAAGACGAGAGAGTCACGAGTGTGATGCAGTGCAGAAAAATGCCGGCCTAGTCCCCGGATCTGCAGAAAGAAACACCCAGCAAAGAGAGCGTGAGGGCCGGGTACCCTGTGCTGTGCCCACCGTCGCGGCCGTGGCCCCACACAGGACCCCGCGCAGAGCCTGGATCCGACTCCTGGCTGCGTCCCGGGCGTCACCCGCCACCCCCGAGAGCCAGGGAGCCTCAGAAACCCGTGGAGAGTCGGCACCATTGCCCTTCACCAGGCTAACTCGTCCCTCATCCCCCCGCACTTCCAACCTCATCCGGGCCTCTGCGTCTGGGGGATCTAATGCCGAAGGAGTTCGTTTTCAGACAGGGCAAGCTTCTCCTGTAAAGGACCAGACTGAACACTTGTGGCTCTGCAGGCCATACCGTCTGTCTCTACTGAACTCCGCCGTCGCGGGACTAACGCGGCCACAGATGATACGTAAACTAACGGGCACAACTGTGTGCCAATAAAACTTTATTTACAGACACTGATATCTGACCTCCATACAATGTCCGCATATCCAGAAAGATCACTCTTTTGAGTTCTTCCAACCATTTACGTAAACGGTTGACACGTAAAATACGTTAACGTGACCAGAAGAGATAAAAAGCGTATCATCTTCTCCCGCAGACGTCTGCCCCTGTCCGAAAACACGGGCCATGGTCTACCAACACCCCACGGTAGCCCTAGGACTTGGCTGATTTAAACTCACTCCTCAAAGCCTGGCCACCCCACCGCGCCCCTCAAGGCCGGCGTCCTCCCTCCTACCTTCGGTGATCTTCGCCGCGAACTCTCGGATGGACTTGAGGGAGGCCAAGTCCAGGTGCCGGGCGCTGACGTGGTGATTAAGGGTCTCCCTGCGAATGTCCCTTGCTGCCGCTTCACACTTCTCCATGTCCCGACAGGCCAGAATGATGTTGCCTCCTGGAAGCCCAGGACAGAATCAAGAATATATTTTTTTAATCTTTTTTTTTTTTATGTTTATTTATTTTTGAAAGAGAGAGAGCATGAGTGGGGGAGGGGCAGAGAGAGGGAGACACAGAATCCTAAGCAGGCTGCGGGCTCCGAGCTGTCAGCACAGGGCCCAACGCGGGGATTGAACTCACGAACCTCAAGATCATGACCTGAGCCGAAGTCGGACGCTCAACCGACTGAGCCACCCAGGCACCCGAGATAAAGAATATTTTTTAAATCCTCCCCTCGGGGGACGCCTCAGTGGCTCGGTCGGTTAAGTGTCCAACTCTCAATTTCACCTCAGATGATGATCTCACGTCACGGTTCATGGGTTTGAGCCCCCACATCGGACCCTATGCTGACACTTCAGAGCCTGCTCAGGATTCTCTCTCTCCCCATCTCTCTCTGCCCCTCCCCTGCGTGCACACATACTCCCTCTCAAAATAAATAAAGATTAAAAAAAGAAAGGATAAGTGGGTAACCTGTGTGTTGTGTGGATTAAATCTCAATACGGCCATAAAAAAAAAAAATTAGAAAAATGACAAGAACCAGGGATTGAAGAAGGACAAGCAGCCATGGTGCGGACCGCGTGGATGTGTGTGGCTTACCTGCCCACCACCGGGCCCCACTGTCCCTCACACGCTCCACAAGGGAACTCACGGGACACGGATCCGTTCATCCTCTGCTGCCTCGGGACCTCAGGACCACGGTGGGTGTGTCCACCCTCTCCTGGGGGGAGCACGTGCCCCCTCCTTGGGGAAACCCCAGGGCCGGGGGGACTGCCCATCACGGCCCCCACCGCTCTCACCTCAGGGGTGGACAGGGGTAGACCCCACTCCGGCCTGGCCCGCCAGGACCCATTCCCAAGCCACCCCAACCCGTCAAGCCCACAGAAAGTTTGCGATCTCCAGCAGCCCTCAAGCCTGCCCCGCCACAGCCTTCCCGCCCCCACCAGTGATGGCTCTGCTCCTCCAGCAGCTCAGACGCAAATCCTCGACTCCTCCTTTTCCGGTGCCTGACCTGACAGGATGTCCACTGACTGTAACTTGGGAGGAGACCTTCACGTGCTGAGCGGGGCAGTCCTCCCGCCCGGAAGTCCGCCAGGACCCCAGTCCGACCAGGAGAAAAACACTGACCGGACCCAGATCGAGGGGCCTTCTACAAAACGCCCGACCAGTAAGCCTGGAAGACCCTGAAGCCAGATCCTCACCCCCAGCCTCTGACCCAGGCCCCGAGCCAGCCATCAGGACGGAGTCGACTACCTTAAGGGAGCGCAAGGCCGGCACCAAGAGAAAAGCCAACACCAGAAACTGCCGGGTGTCCACAGCCTCCTCGGAGACCCAGAGTCTCCCTCACCGCGTTCAGAGAGGAGAACCTTTCCGGCCTAAGCCGACGTGACTTTGGACCTGGACAACCAGAAGGCCTTAGCGTCCCCCAGGAACGCAAACCCTCCAGCACCAGACCTCACACCCCAAGCCTCGGGCAGAGAAGGCAGGTGCCCGCTGGGGCCTCACCTCTTTTGGCCAGCTCCAAGGCGGTCTGCTTCCCGATGCCCGTGTTGGCGCCGGTCACAATGACGGTCTTCCCGAGAATGGTGGCCTTGCTGGGACAGGACCCTCCGGCAACATAGTCTCTGAAAGCGAGAAGCCACGTGGTCAGTTCTGTCCATCTGCACCCTTTGCTGCAGGTGCCGACATGAGCTTGTGTTCCCCAAACCGAAAGACGGAAAGGACATCTGGTGACTGCATGGGGGCCACTGTGATGTCACAGGTAAAGAGAGGGCTCAGCAGGGCCAGGTGTGGGGGAGCCTCTACGACAATCAGTACTTCCTGAAGACCCGCTGTGTTCGTTTCCTGTGGCCGCTGGAACCAGTCACCACAAGCTCGGGGGGGTTTAAACTCTGCTGGCGTGATCTAGGGCTCTGCAGGCAGGCGTCCGAAACGGGTCTCACTGGGATAAGGGCAGGGTGTTGGCAGAGCTGTGTTCCTTCCAGAGGCTCTAGGGGAGAGGCCGGTCCATGCCTCTTCCAGCTTCTAGAGGTGCCCACTGGCTCCTGGCCCCTCCGGCTCCTGGCCCCTCCTGTCCCCAAAGTCAGCCGTACAGCGTCTTCACGTCCCTGACTCGGAAGGACCATTGTGATTGCGGTGGACCCACCCGGACAACCCCCCCATCTCAAGGTCCTTGACTCAATGGCATCTGCAGAGTCCCCTTTGACAGGTAAAGGACCATATTCCCAGGCTCTGAGCATTAGGACGTGCCCATCTTTGGGGGGCAGGGGGACCCTTATTCTTTACCCATGTCCCACAGAAGCCAAATACTGGAAACAACTGAATGTCACCAGTGGGGGACTGGCCAAACAATGCCATCTCCATATGAGAGAAGGGAGCTGTACAAGACGGAAACCACCAGCCACCTGGGGCTAAGTTTTTATTTAAATTAAAAATAAGGGCACCTCTGGGGCACCCGGGTGGCTCAATGGGTTGAGCGTCCGTCTGACTTTGGCTCAGGTCATGATCTCATGGTTCGTGGGTTCGAGCCCCACGTCGGGCTCTGTGCTGACAGCTCAGAGCCTGGAGCCTGCTTCGGATTCTGTGTCTCCCTCTCTCTCTGCCCCTCCCCTGCTCGCGCCCTGTCTCTCAAAAATAAAGATTAAAGAAACTTAAAAAAAAAAAAAAAAAAATAGGGGCACCAGGCTGGCTCAGTTGGAAAAGCAAGCGACTCTTGATCTTGGGGTCGTGAATTTAAGCCTCACGTTGGGTGTAGCAATTACTTAAACAAATAAACTTTTTAAAAATAATGAAGAATAGGGGCGCCCGGGTGGCTCAGTTGGTTGCGTGTCCGACTTCGGCTCAGGTCATGATCTCACAGTTCGTGAGTTCGAGCCCCGCGTCGGGCTGTCTACTGACAGCCCGGAGCCTGGAACCTGCTTCAGATTCTTTGTCTCCCTCTCTCTATGCCCCATCCCCACTCATGCTCTGTCTCTCTCCATCTTACAGATAAAACATTTAAAATATTTTTAAATAAATAAATAACAAGATACAGGCCAAGTACATGAAAAAGGCTTTATCAGATCAGGAGTAACAACTTCAAAATGAAGCTGCATCATAGCCCCAGCAAATAAACCCAAAGGTAATTATTCAAAGGGATTTACAGTCTATGCTTCATTCCCTTAAAAAAAAAAAAAAAAAAAAAAAAAAAAAAAGCATTTCAATATTCCAATCACTTTCAGGCCTCCCAGCCAATCTCTTGTATTGTGTAACTGTAATAAAATGATATATTGCTGGGGCGCCTGGGTGGCTCAATCAGTTGAGCGTCCGACTCGATTTTGGCTCTGGTCCTGATCTCACGGTCTTGAGATCAAGCCCCTCCACTGGCTCTGTGCTGAGGTGGAGCCTGCTTAGGGTTCTCTCTCCTTCCCGCTGCCCCTCCCCTACTCCTGCACCTCTCCCTCTCAAAAATAAACAAACCGTTTTGTTTTTTTTTTAATTACATACTGCTGGGCACCTAGGTGGCTCGATCATTAAGCATCTGACTTCAGCTCAGATCATGATCTCATAGTTTGTGAGTTTGAGTCCCGCCCGCATGGCATGGGCTCCAGGCCCTCTTGGGATGAACACGAGCCCCACTTTGGGTGAGCCCTGCTTCTCTCTCCTCTCTCTCTCTGCCCCTTGCTCACTTCGACCCCCTCTCTCTCCCTCTCTCTGAAAAAAAGAAATTATATATTACTATTTCTTTTTAATTGCGGTAAGAACACTTAACGTGATTTCCACCCTCTTAACAAGTTCTTGAGTGTACAATATAACACCATATTGTTAATTACAGGCAAGATGCAACTATACTTTAAGTGCTATCTATCATAACGAACAGCACAAATATAAAACACTTCCATCAGCGCCGAAAGCTCTCCGAAGCAGTGCTGCTATGGAATACTGGGTTGGCTGGGTTTTCTGTGGGGGTTTTTAGGGAGTTCGCCCAGGAGAGACAAGTATATATAATCCATGCGGTTCAATCTGGTCATGCACTGTGTTGGGCAATTCAGTTTGCGTCCCCGATTTCGGATAAGAGAGCTTAAGGTGGCACAC